CCAGGATGGTCTCGATCTCCTGACCTCGTGATCCGCCCGTCTCGGCCTCCCAAAGTGCTGGGATTACAGGCTTGAGCCACCGCGCCCAGCCCCAGCTAATTTTTAAACTTTTGTAGAGATGGGATCTCACTATGCTGCCCAGGCTAAAGAGCGTTTATTTTCCTGTCTGTGAAATGGGCTGTGAGCAGATCTTGCTCTGGGGGTTGTTGTAAGGAAGGTCTCAGGAGCGTAGGGTGGCCCTGGTGTGCCTAATGCCCCCATGTTCCCTCAGGGGGGCAAGGAGTACTTGATGCGAGCCCACTTTGGCCTCCCCAGCGTGGAAAAGGAGGAGGTGGAGGGCCGGCCCCCCATCGGGGTCAAGTTTGAGATCCCCTACTTCACTGTCTCTGGGATCCAGGTGAGATAAGCGGGCAGGGAGGCTCCTCCCCTTGACTTTGGTGGGTTCCCCTCTCTCCTGTCCCTTGGCTCGAGTCACCTCAGTCCCCTGGCCTGTGTCAACACTCCTCTGAAGGTTGCCTGGTCTTTCCCTAGAGCAGTGTTACCTTTATCTGCCCACAGTCTGGGCTCCCGCTCTCCCGGCCTGTGCCACCTCATTCCCCACTGGCTTGTTCACTTCTGTCCCTTCTCCACCTCCAAAGCCATTCACCATTCCCTTGCCTGTGCCACCTTGTCCCGCCAAGACCATGTGATGTCCCCTCATCGATCCCAGCCTGTGCCATGTAGCCCCTTGGCCTAAGCCATCTCTTTCTCCCTGGCCCTGGCCTCCTCCCTCCTGCAATCCTGGACCACCTCTTTTCATTCCCTTCTAGGTCCGATACATGAAGATCATTGAGAAAAGTGGTTACCAGGCCCTGCCCTGGGTTCGCTACATCACCCAGAGTGGCGGTAAGGCAGCCCAGCTCCTGGGGACAATGGGGTGAGGGAAAGGCAGTGGTTAGGGACTTGGGGGTTTCACCACATTCTAGCTCAGAAAACCAACGAGGGTCGGGTGTGGTGGTTCACGCGTGTAATCCCAGCACTTTGGGGGGCCAAGGCAGGTGGAGACCAACCTGGCCAACATGGTGAAACCTTGTTTCTACTAAAAACACAAAAATTAGCCAGGCCTGGTGGCGCGTGCCTATAATCCAAGCTACTCAGGAGGCTGAGGCAGAATTGCTTGAACCCAGGAGGCGAAGGTTGCGGTGAGTTGAGATCCCGCCACTGCACTCCCGCCTGGGCGACAGAGACCCTGTCTCAAAACAAAACAAAACAAAACAAAAAAGGAAAAAAAAGCAAACGGTCCCTTCTTGTCATGGCACCCTGGGCCTCGGTTTGCAGGTCTTTAAAATGAGGGCAGTTGGCTGGGTGTGGTGGCTTACATCTGTAATTCCAGCACTTTGGGAGGCTGAGGTGGGAGGACCGCTTGAGCTCAGGAGTTCCAGACCAGCCTTGGCAACACAGCAAAACCCCTGCACTACAAAAAAGTATAAAAATTAGCCAGGTGCGGGGGCCGGGTGCGGTGGCTCAAGCCTGTAATCCCAGCACTTTGGGAGGCCGAGACGGGGATCACGAAGTCAGGCGATCAAGACCATCCTGGCTAACCCGGTGAAACCCCGTCTCTACTATAAAATACAAAAAACTAGCCGGGCAAGGTGGCGGGCGCCTGTAGTCCCAGCTGCTCGGGAGGCGGAGTTTGCAGTGAGCTGAGATCCAGCCATTGCACTCCAGCCTGGGCAACAGAGCAAGACTCCGTCTCAAAA